AAAGATACTGGGTAATTTGTAACATGTATTATTACATAAAAAATACAAAAAGATAAAAGCTGAGAGCTGTATCCATCTGTCTGTGTAAGTGTACACTGTGCAATAGTTTTTTACCTATATGTAAACATTTGCAATCTACCAAAATATTTAATTACTGTGGCATATACTAGCCTAATTAATTAGATAAAGAAATAAAGTTTGGATCTGTTCTATTACACCAGAAAGCATGATAGCCATACTGACTTCAATTAAATGGCTGGTAAAGAGTTTCATAACCTGAAGGAAAAAATTCTCAAAATAGAAACAGATGTTACATAACAATTTTATTTTGTAACAAAGAAAGCCTGAAAAGACAGTTTCTCTAAATGATGTCTGTGATACGTGTATACCATGCATTTTCTAATAGCTATATTTGAAATGGGACTGGCAATTTATGTAAGAATTTGCATTAACCTTAAGACAAAAAACATAAAATATCACAATTTATCACAATTGGGTGTTTGATAGAGGTTACAGAGAGAGGGAGCTTTCTTCTTTCTGAGTACTGTCATTTATCAGCATGAGATTACTCAACTGTTTCTGTTTGACTTAGATGAAATTAATCCACTGGCAATTTTAGAAGATACATTAGAAGCACATGGGGAAGTCTGCATCACATACCACTCTGCAACTGCTTATGTAAATGAGGAATGCTGTTTCCCATGTTATCAATTAATTATTTTCAAAGCACTGTACAAAAGGGCCAAAAAGAAATCAACACCTTGTCTGTTTTCAGTTGCAGTTACGCAAAACAACCTAGAGTAAAACAAAAACAGCTTTTTTTAAGCTTTCCCAGATAATCTAAAATACCAAAGAGATGTAAGTTTCCAAGAACTTTAAGCAAAACCAAAATAAACCCAAAAAAATCAAAACACCACCTCTGCAAAATATCTGTCTCACATCTAATAAGAGGTGAAGAATCAGGGTGCAGGGGATTGGACACAGTATAGTAGAGTCTTCAAGAACAGCTCTTGATTAAAATTCATTATATATTCTAATACCTGGTGGCTGGCTTGAGTCCCCCGTGCTTGGACCGTTGCCAGTCTGTCATAGTAACGAGAAATAGGGTTGTCATGCTCAATGCCTTTCTTGGCGCAGCGTTGCTTATAGATCTCCACCAGTGAACGAGAGGAAGGATTGTCTTCCACCAAACGCATCTGTGGAGAAACTGCTACAACACGGGGGACTAGGAGTAATTTCAGAAGGGTGAGAGAGGAGGTGAGGGGCAAGAGGAAGCAAAACAAAACAAAACAGTTAATCCATAACCCAAATACTAAGACAAGAATTAGGATGCAAGTATCAGCCCTTAAAACACAACTGTGATAATCAACTGAAGTGTATCAAGAGAAAAGTTTTATTACTACACTCATAACTAATTTACAAACTCAATTAAAAAGAAAGTATGATAGCAAATTGTTTTATCTTAACAGAAACATCAGATAGATTAGCAAAAAAATTGAGCACTCATTCTTACTTTTCTTTACCTGCAGAAAAGAGGGTAATACTTTTTCAGATGCAAATGGATTCATAATATCTGATTACATGACACTGGCATTATGTCAATAAAAATTACTCTGAAGAACAAAACTTCTAAACTCAATAGGGTATTTAAAGTGATTCAGAAAAACTGGGGGAAAAAAAAATCTGAACATAGTTGAGGAATAGCTGTTTAAATCGCAGTATTTGAATAAAATATAGAAAGACACAGCAAAATATTCAATAGTAAGAAAACTCAAGCCACTGAGCTTCTCCCTGATGAGCAGTGAACTTGCAAAAAACCTATATGCATTTTCATTGTGTTTAACAGATGTATCCTCCTACTGAGTCTTATGTGCATGGCCACCTACATCAAGAAAGACAAGGCTCTCTTCCATAGCTAGGTTTTCCAGTGACACTGTTTGTAATGTTTGACAGCGGCCTCCGGTTACCACCAAAACTATTCTCTCATCATTTCCCTCAGTAACTGTAATAATTAACCTCAGAAATACAGGGAAAAGTTGTTTAAATGTATTTAAATTGATTGATGTAATTTCTTCAGTCTTAAACAAGAAACCGCATTCTGCAGAAGGAGTGTTAATGAGCTATTTCTTCTGGTCTGCTTCCATTAACCTCTGGCAGCAGAGAAATGAATGTTCTTCAGGTTCTTTCCAATAGTTTCAAACCACAAGGTCCAGAATTATTTCCAAAAGCACAATAGTTTAAAAACAGCTCTTTGAAGGAAAAGATGTTACTTTACCAATCATGTTACATAGAGTACATATTTCTGTATCAGAGCCTTGAAAGGTACGATAGACCAAGGCCACTATCTACTGCAATTTTGTTATTTTGGCCTCAGAGTGATGCAAAATTGTCTTCACATATGTAGAGAAGCTGTATTTACCTTTTGTTTTAACAAATCCTTTGGCTTGTACATTTTAGTCTTTTTAAAGTTAGAACTCAAATATGCACTTCTAGCTCTCTAAGCGCAACTTGCACCATCTGGCCACCTAAGCTCATGACAGCAACTTCATGTCAATAGATACTATTAGCCCAAAAAGGAGGACTGACAAAACCATGCTTTGTTAAAATCAGATCTCAGCACTTTTTGAAAGGACAACAGCAAAGCAGCAGTTGCCTTAGTGTGAGTGAAGTTTCCCTTACCCGTAATATATTTCCTGCTCAACAACCAAGGATTATTAGAACTGACTAATGTGATGTACAGAACTCATTTATATGAGGTTAGTAAGTGATTCATTGACCTTTGAAATTAAAAGTATTTATACATTAATATGAAGTAGCTACACAGCTGTAAGCTGGAACTTGCCAACAGCTGTAGTATCTGAAAAACACAAGAGTTTAACTATTTTAAAGCATTTACTTTAGTATTTGAATCACAAACAGATCAAGTATGTTACCAGGTGAGACAGATATTCTGTTCTCATTTCATGAATAAATTCTTTATAATCAACACATGAAAAAGCCAAGATACACAAGGAAAGAGAAAGCATTAAGATTGTGTGTTCAGCCTTCATTCACTATTTGTTTTGAAATGCCTAAATATGTGACCTTTTTATTACGTATTTTGGCAATTTATACACATAAATCATATTGTAATCCTCCTTCACTCTCCTCATTAAGGCCTCCTTACCATTATGTTTGTTAATTATGTAGTGTTTCAACATTGCCACATGGTGCTGTTGGCAAAGTGCAAGTAACCAAACCAAGTAACCTTTTACTTTTCCCCCACAGAAGTATGCTCAACCGAAGCATCCAGTATCTAGACTATGAATGGATTTTACTTGGCAGCAACTAACCAGCCAGGATATGTTCCTGAAAGTAAACATCACCATGGATACATAAAGTTTCTTCAAAGATTACAAAGACAGGTTCTCATATCAGAGAATTCAGAAACTGTATACCTAATTCAAAGCTCCAGAAAAAAATTCTCTGTGGATGAGGTAAAATAAATTCAATATTCATATATTGCAACTTGGGGAGAGAAAGTTTTGTTCTGTCCCTCCCCAGTTCTCTCTAAATGCTTGATCTGAAGTACACGTATCCATTTCCATAGCAACAGACCCAATGGGCATCCCTCTGCCTTGTATGTGTTACTCACAACTGAACTTTGTACCATAAATGATGCATGTAAGCTCTTCTAAAAACACCGTAGATCACATGCGATCAACTTTATACCTCTTCAGAGGGGCAGTATAATTCCAGAAAAGACTCATCACCTAGACAGATGTGAATTTACCTTCTGCATATTCAAAAACTTCAGTATCCGTGATCAGTAGCTGTGAAAAACTTTAGCAATTATAATCTGTGAGTAGAACATATACTTTAAAATAATGTAAAAACTCTCTTTTCAGTACCTGTAAAAAACAAATGTCTTTTTGTGGTTTCCTTCCTTTTCTCTAAGCAAGGGTTCAAAAGGCGAAGAAGTTGTAATACCCGCTCTTCTCTACGAGACTCTGTCAAGCAAGCATCATTCATTACCAGGTATGGGTAAATCTTTCCATTATGGCCTCGAATATATAGTCTTCTAGCTGCAGTATTGTGTTTCTGAACTATCTCCACTCTGGGCATAAACCTATGAGGAAGAACGAGATATTAAAGCATCTGAGCTAATCTCCTCTGATATTAAATCATGATGTAAAAAAAGGGAAAAAACACACCACCAAAACACCCAAAGAAATAAGGCTGTGCAACTGTATTACAAGGTACAATTCTAGTATCCAACTAGCCCATGGTTTCTATTTTGTGGTCAAAAAGCTCTTATGTTTGATTTTGTTTATCTGTTTTTAAGAAAACACAGTTCTTGAGCAAAATTACATTAGATCAGACCTTTATCACTATTTTGAAGAATAGTACCTCTATTGACTATAACAGAAGAACTAATCTCAATTAATATCAACATAAAAGAAAAACAAATATACTCCTCATATAACAGTAGTTGCTTAGTGAGGCAATGTAAAATTACAGAAGAAGGATAAAATTTAAAAATAAAGGTGTTATGCCAAAGTATGACTTTATATATGTAGTTTAAATATATGAAATGTACACGACATCTACTTTTGCAGAGTGGACGGATGGAAGAGGTTTTAATTTTCTTCTCCGTTTTCAGAATTACAAGTACCAAAGGGTATTTTGAGGTTACCTTGCTATCTTGATGTAGTAATGAGTTGGCTTTGGCATAAGGAATTCTCCAGGTATCTCTACTTCTGCAGTTTGAGCTGAAAAATTACTTAGAAAGCGACACTTTTCCTCTATGAGGAAGAACTTTGGAAGCTGTTTAGTTTTTGCCTCCAGAATTTTGATCCATTTCTTCAGTTTAGAGATAAGATTGTGAAGTTTCATTGACCCTGGCACACTGAAGTCGAAGTCTAAAAGAAAATAAATAAAATGTATATACACACACATATACACATCCTCAGCATTTCAAACTCTATGTAGGGTATTTAACTATCAAGTGTCTGAAGTTTGCATTTTCAAATAGGTTCTTTCAGCCACATGCCCTCAAGCAAAATACTTTAAGGACACCCACATACAGCACACATCGTGTTACGCAGAAAAGCATCACATTAGTCTCAAATACTACAGTCAAACGGAAAGATACTACAATCAGCAACTCACACAAAGGAAGCATACTACCACACAAGTCCAGCAGAGAAACCTGGCTACCGATGAACCGTAAACACAAAGAACAGCTAGGAGCTTCAGACAAACACAGAAGAGACATAAGAATCATTAACGAAGAGTCCAGTCATAGTTGGTATAGGATCATACAAGAGCAGTAACACTACAACAGTAGATACTGGAGGAGAACAAATCGTACCATCCCATAGTGCAAACCGAACACACACACAGAGCTGTACACTGCCTTTAAAAGATGTGCTCTGTTGAATACTTCCTCTCTATAGAAAGATCTCTTAAAGTCCTAAAACTATAGATAACTTAAACCTGTCAGAATCTGCTACCTCTTTTCTGTACACAGCTCTAAAATATTCTCTATTATTTAGTAAATAATCAACTTCCCAAGATTTTCCTGTTCGACAGTCATACAAACATTAGAAAAACATACTATGAAAATTTTAAATGCTATTACTGTATTAAACTGTCTATATACTGCAACCAGACAGACCGCAGAGAAAGAAAGCAATAATAAACTAATCGATTAGATCAGACCATTTAATGACAGCAGAAAAGTAAGCTAATTTTACAATCCAGCACTATGATTTTCTGCCTATTTCATTAAAAGCGATTTATTTCTTTAAAATCAGTGGAGGCTTTTTACTTTTAAAAGTTGAGACTTTCGAGTCTCAACTGAGGATACAATGTAGACTCTGTGAGCAACTGCAGGACAAGCAGTAAAATTGCTATTACTTCTATTATCCTATTCTGAGCTGCAAGAAAATTCTCTTTATTCCTTCCAGGCTTAGATAGCAATTGCATGCCACCACAGGAAGAACAGATATGACAGCCTAAGCAAAAATTACAATATTATGCAAACAGCCAGCTCTTTTCTTTGCGACATAACAGGATTGCAGTGTGGAACCCTCTCCTCCAGCCCACATACAAGTGAAGTAAGAATTTTCTCAAGGTCAATACATGGTCTTCAATATACTATGTAGATAATTCTGGAACAGAAATCACTGCAGTATCAACCATTTTCTGGGCCAACGCCGATGCCATCTTCTCAACACTGCTTTCACTACAGTTTCAGAACACAGCAAATAAATAGATGTGTTTCAATTTCCCAAAGAGGGAAAATGAATAAACCACATACACAAATGAAATTATGGTTCAGCACTTCAGTACCACAACAATGAGAGATTAGATGCAATTGGATAAGAAGATAAACTGCTCGCTCTGCAAACCTCATCCATTACGGCATCCCAAATTGTGCAAGTTAACCAACAGACTTGAATTTTCAAAAAGCATTTCTATAGCAGTGTCTAAAAGATGCCATTTTAAGTTCAGCATGTTAGAAGTGAAAAAGCAAGAGCAAGAAAGAAACAGAGAATGTCGATTCAGTAGTTCTGAGATTTACAGCTAAAGCAGAACGGAGTCTTCATTACGGTTCAATACAACAGAAAATTAACAGTCTCAAAAATTAGTTTGAATCTTATTGTAGAACCTACGTTTCAGTACACACAATGTTTTCCTAGGTTGACAAAAAACCAAAACCCAAAACAAAACAATCATGAGTGCTGCTCAGAGGGGAACTTGATTTGACCACATAAATATGATACAAGCATCTATCTGCAAGTATGCTAACAGTGAATTAAGTACATGTGCACAGCAATTACTGCATAGAAGTATTTTTCAACTAAATTAAAACCACTCAAAACTCTGATTATCCCCAAGACTTACTCCTAGAAACAAGCTTAGAACATTTGTTCTTTTAGCCAGAAGAGTTCATATAATTCTATACATACACTTTGCTCTCCAAGTTCTCTTCTTTACATGTACAGGATACCATTCCTGAAAAATAATGCAACCTAGGATTTCTTTCATTTCGCTATTCTGTTACTTAAACGAAATATCAAAGAACACACAACCCAACATATTGCATTGTGTATCCACGATGTACTGATATGCTAAAAGCTTTCAGTGACAGTCTTAAGTCTACTAGCCCAAAACAGAGGGAAAAAAACCCCAGCACATACAAAATCCTTTCTACTTCTCTAAGAAATAAGTCTAAATGAAAAATACAGTTTCATATATTTATGAATGTTAGAAATTACTAATGGATGTTAGAAATTAGTATAACTCTGTAATTCTCCCTTTTCTTTTTCTACCTGGTATGGGCAGTGCATGTGTTGCAGTATCACTGTAAAACTCTCTTATTATAATCACAAGCCTACCCTCTAGTGAGCAGTGGGAGTAAATCATTTCATGAAAGTAAAAAAGTCCCTGAAGCACAGGAAAGTATCCCCAAATTGCAGCTAGTTTTTGTGCTAATGTGAATCACTCAAGTAGTAAAAATATGCAGCAATATATATTCCTTAGAAAAAAAGTCATTCAGTTCACTCTGAGAATAGATCTAATTTGTTGAAATGCCTATTTTAGGATTTTTGTTATTGTCTTGTTTCCCAGTAGCAGATGGGAAAGCCAGCGAGTTCAATTAGTCTTTTTGCTCATGTCACAGAGAGCCCATCTGAGAAGATACATCACTCTAGCTGAAGAAAGGGAAATTCAAGACCAGGTATTATTTGTGTACAAAGTCTCTTCGCTTTGCAGACATCTTGATCTATATAAATAGTATTTTTATTTCAAACAAATCCATCTTTTCAGTACTCACTACTGAAGAACACCTTTCTCAAGGTAGTGCATGCTGGTCTAAAACACCTTACTACTTACACCACCTTTTCCTAAACTAAATAGGAAATTTACCCCCCTCATCTTTGATGGAGTTATTCACAGAAGACCGTGATACAGAACACAATTGAAGAAGCTTGCTCTCTGTTCTCAATGCTGCTTAAGATTTTACAGTGTGATATATGTATTTCAAACAAACATATTCATTCAAAGTCTTGAATGCCTCAAAAATTGCTACATGAATTCATGCCACTCTCAATGAAAGGACAAACAAGGGGCTAATCTTCCTGCCAGTGAGACATGCCTAAAAGATCCTGATGGTTCTTAACACAACTAGATAAAGCATAATACTTTTTGAATGAGGGCTGTACGATCACTTCTCATGAAGCAACACAAAAAAAGAATACACTTGAGTTGGCAAAATTAGAGTACTAAACCCCTTGCCCCCGCAAAACCCTTGACCTACGGAACATTAACATAGCATTAGAAAACAAAGAAAACCCCTCCAAGCTAAGACTTAACTAAAAATACCCTTCTGCTACACTGGCAGAAAATACTTCTAATCACTTAAAAGTAACAGGCAATTAATGCTTTCAGAGCAAGCAACAGTTCATTTGCAAGATTTTAAAGATTATTCTGACCCTAGATAAAGCAGGTTACACTTAAAATTCATGACCCAAGGATCTTCAACCAAGAGTCAGGACACCCATCATGTAAGAAGCCACTTACGACTGAAATGTAAGCTTAGCTTTGCAGAGCAGTTCAAATCCTTTATATATATATGACACTGAAGAAGATCCAAGCATCCTCCAGGACAGAAGAGCTGTCTTGTTTTTGAAGTTGTTATTCAGACATTTCTATACTCTGTACTTTCTCAAAGGTTTTTTTTAATCTCACAAGAACTTTTGGAAAGCACCAACAAACATGAAAAATCTCAGTGACAGGTAAGCAAAAATATGAATCAGGACTTCTAGTTTATCACTCAGCTCCAGAAAACCAAGACTGCAAGGACACCAGACTGAGGTCACATATGATGGTAACTCCAATCTCTTGATCTGGATTTTCTGGATAACATCCTGTTATCCAAAACTTCAAACAGAAGTAAAGAAAGAGTGATGCTATGCTCACTCCTAAGGAAGAAAAAAAAAAAAATCCTTAAAAAATCTGAAATTACTAACAGAGCTCTTCCCCCTGCCCTCTCCCCACACTTCAGAGAAACAGTAGGGCTTCAAGAAGCTTCCTTCTGATTACAGAGTTTCCATTTGCAGTACAGAATTCATTGTGCTGGGTGCCAAAACTCTCAAGAAAATAATCTTGCCCTTCAAGGTTGTATTTTGGAATTTTCCATTTGTATTCAGCTTCAGTGGAGAGATGGTTGCAGAAAGAAGCATGATCCAAACTCTAAATTATCATCTGCCCACAAAAGAACAATTGGGGCAGTTTTTCTCCGCCTATCACTGCTGAGAGAGCTCTCAAAGGGAGCATTTCTCAGCATTTGCCTGTTCTTTGATGTCAAAGGTTTAGCAGAAAAGGAGAGAAGGAACAAAGAACAGATGGTCAAAGAACTATGCATTTGAAGTTCCAGGGGGAAAAATTCAAAGAAAAATTTGGTTTTAAAATATACAATGTTAGGATGGAAAAAGATGACCTATCAAAGCTCCAACCGTCCAGACGGCAGCAGACAAAGTATTTAGAATGTAAGAAATGGTGTGAGAGTCCCCAGCAGCTCCAAACAGGAACCAAGATGCAACTCAGATGTTGGTAGAAGAGATTACGCAACCAATCATAGTTGAAAGTGTCTATAAAACATAGCTGTCAACATTGATCTGGAAATAACTGAAGAAAACAGTTTCCTCCAAGACAGCTCCTCAGCTTGGATACTTTTGAAATGGAAGGCAACCACTGTAATTATCTGTCCATCATGTAAATGCAACTGGTACTGAGAATCATAAAAACAAACAAACGTGAACATTCTAGTGTAACAAAAGGACACAATAGGCATGACTTACAAATGGTTTCTCCTACGTTAAATCAGCCTTTGCTATCTTTAGTACAGTAACTATAAACCTATTAATTTCTTTAGGTATATTTTACTGTTATTGCAAAATTAATAAAAAACTTATTGTCACTTTATGCATAATGAAATAAATTACAAAAATGCATAAGTTCATCGGGTTTCTTCCATTTTCTCACATTTCATTTGTGAAATAAAACACTGAATTTATTAGATTAAAATGAAATCTAGCACTGAGCAACATAATTATTTTAATTCTGTAGACATTCACATTTCATCACACCTGAAAAATAAAACAGGAACTCTTCAACAAAAAAAGATACAGAAAATATTAACTTATTGTTAAACTGAAGTTTACTAAGGAACACTTCACATTTTACGACTTTACATGATTTTTATGAAAAGGCCTATGCTGTTCTTCATAGATGCCATGATTAGATAGCAAACCTTTAAATGCCATTTATCTATCATAAAGGCATGTAAAAAATATACAACAGGATATAAAAACTTAAAATCCTCTCCATGTTTTATTTTAATTAAAAAATGTAATTGAATTACAATTTTAAAAGTTTTATTACTTCTCTAGAAATGTCCTGAAACATTAGTTTAGATTTTGCAGACTTGAGCCTGGTGTTGTATTTAGTTCTCCTTTACACCTTCTGAAATGCCAGATCTCTCTAACACTCAAAGGAAATAAGCTAAGAGGTACTATGACAGACCAAAAATAACTCAAAGCCAACACAAACTGAGCATATCGGCAACACTTAGAGCAATAAAAAAGTGACTACACTACTTTTGTAACGTAAAGACATATAAACCATTATTACAAATAAAAAACAAGTCTGAAGTTGTATTAAATGTATTTTTTTCGCCTGTAAGCCTACGTCAAAGATACACAAAATGTGTCTACTTCCATCACCCTCCCCTAGTACACTCCATCCATTAAAAATTGAATCATATGGTTCAGGACTCTCATTATCTGCTGTCATGCGATTGTTGTGCCTCAAAAAGGACACCATGCAATACACAGCGTGCACAAGATACATAGGTCATATCTACAACTGAGTTACTTTCACAAGATTCCCATCAGTTCACTTATTTTTACAACATTATCAGTAAAATGCTTGAAAAAACACCGCAAGTCTACTTGTCAAAATCTGTAAATGTTCAGTAGCTATGTTGATCCCAAATAATTTTAAGTTAAGGCAACTTTATGTAACTTGGGATCCTAAAAAGAGTAACTTTCCATGCAAGATTCACTCTTGCAGAGGAACCAGCTTGATGTGGAAAGGGGGTGTTTTTTAAACCATTATAGAAGCTAAGAGTCCCAACAGGGTAAAGAGAAAAGTAGATTCAGAAAAAGGTGAAAACCCAGCTCTTCACAAAAATTCTACCTTTCCGGTTTTGAACAACTAGAAGTTGGAATTCTGTTTAACAAAACCCAACTATAATTATCTATTCATTTTCATCTAATTCTACAGTAATCTTTAAGGAAAAGCTGATGTAGTTTAGACTGGAATTTATGCAAAACTCAATCCTGGCAATCCACAACACTGATGCCTATCAGTGTCACCTTCTGTCATATATAGCTGCATGGCCTTAACGCTTTTCACCAAATCTATCAAAACCACACTCCACTGTACACAATTTTTTCTTAGAATTTTAAATCAACATCAGATACTCAAACATGTAACTCCACTGCTAAAGAGAAAATTAATGATGAAAAAAGCTACTTCCCTTAAGTATCTTTTTTATTAGAGCTGATTAAAGTTATTGATTCAATTTACCTAACAATGATGTAAATTTGCATAATAGGATTTTTATAATCTAGTTATCCAAAATACTAATCTTCCTCATCAGAACTAGGCTGTTTTGAAAGACTTCACACAATATTGTCAGTCTGGAGTTCTGAGGTGAAAATTTTATTAAATTCTGGCATCATCATAAAACAGAGATCATTACTGTCCCTCATCTATAGCAGGCAGTTCTATGGAAATTGCAGAAATATTACGGTGAAGTAATCTAATTTATCTTTAAACACTTATGTGATTTGACCACAGTTTTAGGTAACAAAAACAGAGCAATATACTCATTCTCTTTGTTGAGGTCTGTTTTTCACTTGAATTATCTTTATTACTCCACAGAAGACTGGAATAGACGAACTATTTCGGGTTTGTTCAATGACAGAAAGGTGCTGTTTTCTAGATTTTCTCTCAGGAAAAATATTGGAAGAGGAATAAAAAACCAGAATGCCGTCACAGTTGAATTCAAGGGAGGAAATTTCTCTGGAGATTAAAAGTAACATTTAAAAAAACCCCAACATTTTAGATATTTACCTGTTGTAAATTGTCCCTTTAACTTCTGGAACACGGGATCTTGAGCCGTTGCCTGAGCTCTCCTAGCTAGTGACTCTGAGGCTGCACTAGAAAACATGGTGGACACATTAGAGACATTCTCAAGACCTACTCCAAAAGTGCTGACTAACTTCTTGACAAAGTTTAGCGTATGAGGAGTGATTTTGGCATCTGAAACTGCTCCACTTTTCTCAAAGGCAACTGAATAGCACTTCGCCAAGCCCTGCTGCAGTTGTCTAAGAACCTAAGGATTAAAAACAAAAAAAGACAAAATAGTCAGGAAGATGAGGCCTTCTGATTTGACACCAAGTATTTATTCATGCACTGCATTTTACGTAGTAAAATGTTTCCTCTCAGAAACGTTTATTTAAAACTGCATTTTTAGATTACATCAGAGGGTCAATCAGAATGACAGCACTGATTCTTATTAGCGCACAACTGAACAAACGGAACAGTGGAAACCCTGCATCACAAAGTACACCTTGCTCGTTCAACAGCAGTTAGGTCTCAGATCTCGTATTTTGTGATATATTAGAAAATTGTGTGATATGAGGAATCCTCCTTCAAACAAACACTGTGCTACGTAGACAGAACAGAATAGCCTGACACTTTGAGAGGCAAATAATAAAAGTGGAGGGGGCATGTCCATCTGCTCTCCGTTATAATTCAAACTTTGGACAGTAATCACGACCTGTTACAGACCACCAGATCAAGAAAGAAACTGGTATCTGTGACACTTAGTGTAAGAATAGAAATTTTCAGTTAGTAAAAGCAACAGCTTAAATCCTAGAGGCACTCATCAAGTCAATAATTTTGGGAAACATCTGTATTGCTTCCAGAAATAACCAAGCTCCTTAAAACTCCAATCAGAACAATCAGTTCTACAAATACATCAGTTTACTAATCAAAATAAACAGTTACTTTTTAATGTTTAAAAAGAGTTCTAGCAAAATATTTTGCAGTTAACTCTTCTTTAATGATACATACGTATGAAAGCGTATCAAAGCCAAATACCTCTTCATGCCAGTTCTCTCTGAACCAGACCATCTGATCTACAATGCCTTCCAGAGAAGACAAAAGGGTTGGATGTAGCTCTCGCTGCATATGCATAATTCTGCTGCATCGCCACATTGGTGCAGTGGCTCTGATGGGCCCAGGATCTGAGGCAGAGTGGGACTGATTTCCAACTGAACTTGGCTGTTGTTGCCCAGAATCTGGAAAGTGTAAAAATGTTAAAAAAAAAAAAAAAAAAAAAATTGCCTTTCATAAACTTGATACATGGCTGCATGAAATAAAATAAATTGTTCCAATAATTTGCTTTAGATTTGCACTAAGTATTAATCAGGTATTACCTAATAAATTCCAGAAAATTGGAGAAAATTTGTTTTTAGAAAGAAAACTCTGCTCCAAATGCTGTTCAGTAGTACAGACTTCCCAAAGTTAGAGCAGTATAAACACTCTTCAAAAACACACAGGAGGTGTAGCCTTAGCTTTCATTCTACCTACCCATGCTCTTGAAGTCACTGACATGGTTTCATATAGGATGAAATTACTTAAATTATGGGGGTTTTGCTCCCCTCTCTTTTGGGAAGCTCTCTGACATGTACCTGAAGAATAAAAATGCTAGTGCCAAAACCACACAAATCATCGTAGAGTACAACTGATTTTAGTACACCTGATTTCTTGCATTACAACTACCTCAGAGCAATTGAGCACAGAGCTTCGCTTTATCAAATGACCCCCCACTACTTCACACAACCCACCGACAGAGCAGCAGTTTGTGGCAGAACCGCTAGGAAAATATTGTATTGGTTACCACTAACTGCACACAGCAATACCAAGAGTTTGGCACAGAAACCTCTGTTGCTGGATATGAATGTAGGGAAGTATTATGGGCATATACCAGAGGAGACACACAAAGAAGAATTATTTCTTTCTGACATTATTTAATTAGCGACCTTCAAAATTTTATGCAGAAATTTAGTAAACCGATTCCCAAGTAAAAAGGCCAATTAAATAAACAATGCACTTTGTAACAAAGAATACAGAACAGAAGGGAGAGTTCTTCAAGTAGCTCTCCTGGGATTCCCAGGGGGTTATACAGGACAAAAGAACAACTACATTCTGTGGAAGCATTTGACATATCAAGTCAAAATAGGATTTGTTCCTGGAAAAAAAGGTGTTGTGCAAGTTGCTTAAAGTTCACCGCACCTCCTACACATTTCTTCAAAGCCAAAATTTATTTCCTTTTGTATAAACTTAGATGCTCACATTGCTTGAAAATTCACCCTAAGAAGTTATTATGGAGATGTTAAACTAAAGATTACTCAAAGAAAGCAGTTTATCTTACTTGAGTTACATGAACTCATCTTTTGCTAAACTATTTTTAAAAGTTTGACTCATTTGAAAAGAAACTGAATGTTCCATTGTTCATGCTTCCCATCAAAATTAGAATAGAACATCTTAGAAAACTATGATGCTCTTCTGTGCTTGTAATTCCAGAATTTACTCCCTTTCCACCAATTTAAAAAAAAAAGAAAATCCAGTAAAGAACATGTGATTCTCAATAATTAAGGTGACATGAGAATGAAGGAGATGAAACTCTTCTTGGTGAATATTTTATTAAAGAAAATTCAAGATAGCTCAAGCTATCTGTAGATTTAACTTACAGAAACAAATGCAAGCAAAAGTTTATCATGAATTTTTTTCCTTACCCTTGGTAAGTTGGTATGTTTCCTAGAGAATTTATTTTCCCAGTAAAATCAAGTGAAACTCAAAACAAAACTAAGTTACAGAAAATCCAAAAATGCTATCATCATCATCAAGCTCACCGCTTTTGTAGCGCTCTCGTTGTTCTATCTTCAAGGTCAAATAGAGGGTCCTGATAGGGAAGTAGACAGCTTGGGGATAGACTCTTCCCACCTATTTGGAGATAAACACATGTGTATTTCCCAGTTAAGGAAGACTGACTGGAGATCAGATCACCACGCACAGATTCTCTCTGTAAATGAGTGCAATTCAGTAATAATCAGCTCCTTGTTTTAAATAACAGGTTATGAAAAATTAAGAAATTAAAGATTCAGTAACAGAAACCCAAAGAGGATGAAATGGTAACTCCCTACACACACTCTTAAGGCACTACCTAATTAGACCTTCCAGATCATATTGCCTAATAAGCCTGAAAACAGCATAATGCCAGAGTACCAGCTGGGCCAGCTCAAAGATCTTACTCATGTACATAATGGAAGAAAAACAGACATAATGACAGCAGTTAGTCTTTAAATTAGGCCACAATTCCCAGTGAGCCCCGTGATATTTGATAAGAAGGCCCATTAGAAAGTAACTTTACTCCACCTAATTGGGGCACTTAATGTAAGAGGGTAGCAATTTCACCCAAAAATAAAGAAGATTTTATGGTGTCCATAAAAAAAAAGAAACAAAAAACTAAACAGATATTAACATTCAGCAGCCCCTTTAAAATTTGTAAATCTCAGTATCTATTAAAGGAAAGAAATGATGGTCTAAGTACTACCTACGATAGAGCACATCTTAAGACATAATTAGAGGCTTTTCCAGCCACAATTTTACTAAATCATGGATTCTTCCTCCATCCAAATGGGTATCATAAGTGGTAGAAATTTTGCAATGGCATTTAACTGTTCAGTAATAGGATATTTTTGGCAGATTACTAACCTGACACACATACGCTTCATGTTGTACTTCAAGAGCAAATTATTGGAAAAGAACTGTAAGGTTTAGGTTCTTGTACTTCTGCAAACTTAGAGTTTTACCTTACTAACACAGAAAATGTGGCATTTTTTTGATTTTGTATTCCATCTACGGACCTGAAGTTTAAAAGCAAGATAAACAAAAATATCTGCAATATTTATGAGCCTAAGTTCCAACTACAGTAGGATGTCCAAGTAGGCACTCACTTCTGAAAATTTCATCTCAACAAACAAAAAGTGTGTACAACTCATTGAAGTAAGTTTTTTCTGTCTGCTGTCAGAAGACAGCTGAGCACACGGGTGTTGCAAGACAATGCTAAGCCATACTCATCAGAAATTTTGCCTGAGCTACTTTGCTTTCTTAAGCTGTTTGAGTGCATGGTCTCTTCAGAGTTTCCTCTTAATTTTATGGAGAGGGAAGGAAACATGTATACATATGCACACACATATTTAAATAAATTTATGTACACAAGTATCGATGCGCATGCATCGATATTGATGCACATACATGCGATTGACACACAGGGACACATTCTCTCTCTCTACAAAAATACACATCCTCAGAGCTTTGAAAGAACAAAGATAAGGGATAGTATAAAAGGAGCTGGATTTCACAGAATCAGAATACCCCAAGTTGGAAGGGACCCACACAGACATCAAGTCAAATATCAAAAATCAAGAGCGGAGGGAAGCAAAGAAGAATACTGTGAGGAATTCAGCACAACAGCTGTCCTTTGCCGGTTTTCAGGGAACAGTGGAGCACTGCAGACAGAAATGGCCTGGGGTACAGCCTAATGTGAGAGCCTCCTATGTTCACCTCCTATGTCAATAGCACTTCATAATTGTTTTACATTAACCTGTATGAACAAACATCAAAATGCTTCCAGGTTGTGCACATGCTGAAGCAGAGCTGCAGTCAGACCACGTACAGTTAACATCTCTGAAAACGTGATGTTTGGACCCTGTTCACACTAAGCCATAACAAAAGAGTACCTAAAAAACACATTAACATAAACAAGTCACTTATTCTTCCTTAGGCTACAGGACATGCTTAAACCAACTCTATACTGAGATCCAAGTATACGTTCTATTCTTCTGCTTCAGAGCAGACAGCAATAGGCAGTAAAATCGTAAAATCCCAAAGCAAGATTAATCAAAACTCCTACCTGTCAAGGTCAGAGGTACAAATCCAGGAAGCCAGTTTCTAACTCCCTAAACCTTACCCTTTTTTGTCTAATCATTTGTCAGGCCAAACTTCAGGAAAATTTACAAAGCCCCAATAAAGATTTTTGATGGTAACAGACACAGAGCCTTGTTTTTTAAAATCAAGTCTAATAAAAACCAAAGCACTAATGAAATAGTTTGCCCTTTAGTCACTGCAGCTAACAATTCTTTATCCCTACTCCTACGTTACAGGATTTAACTACGTATTTCTACATGTTTTCCATAATCTTCACAAAAAGGTAATAAATAGAATTCCAGAGGGAAAGCTATAATGCCCCATGTACATACGGCACACAATTTCACTGGATTTAATCTCATTAAATAACACTCACTTTGAAATTTAAAATATTCTACTTATAGAGGGAAATCAGCATTTTTTTAATTCATCAACAGCTGCAAACAATAGTATTTCTAAGGCTTGGCATTTTCTTAATTTGCTTTGAACAATACGTGTATCATCTTGAAAACAAAGATTACAGACAATAAAGAATTACTGATTATCTTCTGTACCTGACTAATGAGGTTCAGAAGGAGTTTGCCCTCTGAGCCAACCAGGCATGTCAGCAGCTGTGGAATCCAGGCCAACCACTGAATGGGTGGAACACCAATACAGTACTTGTCTACTGCATCTGCTAAAGTGTTCTTATCATCATCAAAACTCAGTAGCCAAAGAACCTAAGAGAGAATTGCAAGAGGACATCTCTTAAGTAAGGGCTTAAATTCAAGACACTTCAATCATTACGATGCGCAAAAACACACAGACATTTTATGAATATGACAGCGGAGTCCTTGTAAGTGTTAAAGTTGCCTCGGACACAGGAACTTACATTCATTATGCCTGGCCAATGTAATTTTTTCCCTTAGAAATAACATTTAAGGGATGTAAAAATTAAATGTAAGTGTACTCCTTGCTATGAAACAAGACAGAAAAAAGTCAATGAACATGACTGCATTCCACAAATTTTTCAAGTTTTTGGTTGGGGGAGTGGAAAATCAGGCATGTTTATAGAACATAAAATATGTTATTAAGATAAATTAACTTTGATGCAAGAACTTGAGTATTTCTTTGGGTGTCTTTAATTATTTTAACTGTCCATCCCTAGTGATACTTTTTCTACAATTTAATTTAAATGCAAATATACTAAGCACTGACTAAAAATCACTAATAGTTACACATCCAGCCAGTGAGAATAATAAACTTCAGAGTGCTATGGAGACCACCTTTAATCTGAAACAATATTTTCCATGTTTGTTTCGTGTTCAAAATAGATTGTCTTCTAGAGTCTACTATCATTTTTAGAATTTTCTTCATAAGAGAGATTAAAGTAAATATCCCCAAACTGGGAAATACATAACACAAAGAACTTTGGATAAAATTGTTCAATTAGAATAGAATTTTATAGAAAAAGCCTATTTGGAATAAAATGCTAGCCTGAGGTAGAAGTTGATATGAAGTATCCATAGTAATGATGAACAGACATCAAATTATGTTACTTTTTAGAGCACCAAAGGATGCCTTTCTGCAGATATTTCACTGCATTACGTATTAGAAATGCTGAATGTGATTTGCCCCCTTTCTCCCACAAAGAGGTTCCACACCTTAGAAAAACCAACCCAGATAGGCCAATGCAATATAAAATCCCACGGGGGTTACATGCAATGACTCAACCGCAACCATATGCGGACTTTCAGTCTAAATTAAAGCTTTCTATCAGTAACTGGTATTTCTTTAATTGCACAAATTTGGGCGCTGAACATTATCCCAGCCTTTTCTGAAGGGGTGGAGCTCCAATTCGTTCTTAAAGATCTAGATCTTACCTTTGCTAAGTATTTTCTTGATTTGCTCTCATTCTGATGACGACATGCGTGCAGGTAGCAAGTAATAGCAGACACACCGAGGTGAAGCTGACGTTCTTTCACAAAGATGTTCTCGAGATAATCACCCCACATGGCCCACGCTTTCACTAGCACATCATGCATTTGCACAGCTGCAGAAAAAGCTTTGTTTGCTTCTTCAGACCTGCATTGTGACAAGTAAATATATTAGTTTTATGCTAACAAAAAGTTACTAAATTATGTAAGAGTCAGATTTCCAATAGGGTACTCAATTACTTTTAGTAATCAATGATCTTTTTCCTTTAAGTTCTTCAGTAACATCTTATGACTGTTTTGTCTTGGCTTTCCTTAAAGTTCAGCACCTGTGAAAGTAAGTGCTTCATAAAGGAAACAATTATGTAAGTGTCTAAGATCTCCAGATAGTCCCTGAAAAAAACTAAAAAACTTCCAGCGCACTGCAACTGCAACCCAAGCCACAGAGTACGATACTGGGAGAAAGAAGAACAAATGGTAACACAAGAAGAGCAGAAGCAAATGCATTAAAAAGTGCTCCTCTGCTGACCCAAAAAAAAGGAGCAAGGAAAAGCGACATTGGGAAGATGTTATATTAGCTAGCTTTCGGAGGACTACATCCTACTTAACTGTCCTCCCACAGAAGTAATGAAAAAATTTACAATCAACATTATACGGAAAAAGTCAATTCCTCATGCCCACAGCTTTAGAAGTTTATTTTTCAACAGGAAAAGTGAAGGAACATGAAGGTTAATCAAACAGTTCTCGGTAACCAAAAGATTATTTGTTTGATACTTCTGAAGTTTTTTCTAGGTTTTCTCAAGTGTTCCTAGTTCAAGATTTGGCCTGATTCAACCCTATACAGCCCATGAACTGATGTAACTTTTCAGGGTTACATAAAGACGTAAGGGATGAGAAAACTCACCTACACATTACTGAATTGACAAAACTTTTAAAGCATTCCCAGATTCCTTATTAGTAGAAAGTGCTTAACTTCTCCCTTACAGAATAAGCATTGCAATAAACCACACAAAAATAACGCAATGCTTGTTTGCCTCATTTTTTTAAATTAAGTCTGAAGTATTTTTTATATTAAAACATTAGCTTGGAGGATTACAGTGTTAAATTAAAATGACTAGGTATTAATCAAAACTATAAAAAGCAAAGCAACTTTGTGTGTCAAACTATATATTAGTTTCTGTTACATTAATATCTTGCTCACTTTTAGAGGCTTTCTGCACCCTAGACACTGGTCTTGAAGCGACCTACCACAGCAGCAGCCTGATAGATGACTTTGTATCACTACTTCTCCTTTATAAGAAGGGGACGTTTCAGTCAGTTTTCTTTTCTCCTTCTTTACAATCCATCATTCTTGACACCTGAGACGACTTTTTAAAAATGGTTTTTATCACCTTGCTCAGCAAATGGGCAGCACAGGGAGATGCAAAAGCAGAGGTGACCTTTAACTTCCAGTTTAGTTGACACACAGGTAATCAGTAGTCACACATTCTCAAATTCAACACTGCCCTTGTTCTCAGCTGTAACCTTCCTAAATTCCTGACCTCAACTGCAGTGCTAAAAAACTGCCTGTGTGTTTTTTGGTAAGATTAAAAAACTTTAAGTTCATCAGAACCATGTTTTGAACAGAAACCTTTGCCCATTCTATACTGAAAGTACAGAGACAGCTTAGCTGCCTTTTACTTTATCTGCATAAATTTAAAACAACTAAAAGTTAAAAAAAAAAAAAAAAGATGGGGGAAGTACACTTTCTTCTCTTTACACCTCAACTGAAACTAAGCTTGCTTATGGCCATAAAAAAGCCCATTGCACCTTCCAGTAAAGTAATTACATTCTGCCCATTTAAAATTCTCTCTTGTATCCACTGAAGAAGATATTCATCATTTCCTGACTTAAATTGCTATGTGAGGTTTCAGCGTACAGCTTAAAACCTGATGTATTTCATTCCGTAACTGTCCATAATGTAGTGGCAAAGGAATTAATCCACCCATATGTAGCAATACTGCCATTAAATACCATGCATACTAAAAGCTGTTGAAATCTGAAGGGTAGGGTTTTTTGGCATCACTGAATTTGACTGCTGAGATATTTGCTTACTGAATTAAAGGAAGATCTTCCTCAAAATATTAAGATGCTTGTTAGCATAAAGCAAAAATGTTACAAAAGCAGTTGTGTGAAAGCAAGTGTTTAATTGCTGCAATGCAAGACATCTCCAACGCGCACCACATTAGTCTCCTCAATCATCTGAAGAGAGCGTTCCATTTCCCTAATACATGGCACACCAGATTTGTCTAAGCACTCTGAACTACGCCATCGCACACTTTCCTACGCCTTGAGCAGCTGCAGCTATTAAACAGACACATACAGTGAACAATGAAACAGAAATGTGAGAGAGAGAGGTAGGCTAATTTTAAGTAATCGTAAGCTTACAGACTGAACTTTTTTTTCCCCTTAGTTTTATATGTGATATTTACATTAAGAACATAATTAAAGCAACCTCCTTTTGTCAACTACACTAAGATGTAGTTTGTTACACAACAGTTTGTCACAGAACTGGGAGGGGAGTGGGGGGAGAGCAGAGAACGTATCTTCAGCTGCAAAGCTTTGGACAAACCTGCCTCTTCCCAGCTCACCCCTCAAAATATAAAACTTAAAAAAAAGAACTGGTGCAATGTTTGCTTTAACTAGTTCTTTCCTACAATACTTAGAAATATGACCAACCATTACATCTTCAAACTGCAAAAAAACCTCTCGCGTACACTTTTACTTTCTTATACAGTTGTGACAAATTCTAGGCTGGTATAAACATATGGAACAACTTTCCTGCTCAAATACTGTGTTGAAATACTTCAGCTGCATTTTTCTAAGATGTGTGCTGGTGCCTCTTCCAGCCAACATACTTACTTGTTAATCTGTGCCAAGAACATTCCCTTCAATGCATAAAACTCAGCAGTCATTTCCTTGGTGAAGTACTTCAGATTGGTTGATTCAATAACTTCAAGACCCTGTTAAATAAGCCTTAGTGAGAGTAGCCTTTTAAAAACAGAAGGTTTTATTAAAATGAAAGTGCCATAAAAACCAGCCAAAATATTCTCTTGAAATTTAAATATCATGAGTTTCTAGAATTTAATTTTCATTTTTAAAAATCCCAACTGACAACCATTTTAAGTTTCCACTGGCCTACGCAAAACTATTAGATACTATAGACAACATTCATCATGTGATGAGTTATCTTTTCCACCTTGGTTTTTTTAATGTTATGTCATTATTATTTATATTATGTTATATTACATTATCATTATAAGGTCCCAGTTTGCTGACCTTATAATCATTATGTCGGTGGGGTTTGTCTACAATCACATTTTTTTCCTTTAACACATATGATTTCACTTCAGTATGCCAGCATCCATCACTTCTGAGTCAGACACTCAAAACTGACTTGGAGTTTCAGTTAGTTCTGCACTGGTGTTTGCTTCTTCCTATTGCAAATAATATAATTTTCAAAGGCCCTTCCAATTACCTATCTTGCAAGATTTTAAAAAACGTTATTTTCACTTAACTTTTTATTCAGCTAATTTTTAATATATTCACAATATTCAGTTCAAAGAGGACAAATGACTGCTTTTGACTAACAGCATTACTTAACACAACACTCTATGCATGGTATAACATGGCCAACAAAATTCAGACCCTGTTCTGTATACAGACAGTTTAGATGGCCCTTGTAACCCTCTAAGTTCCCACAACTTCAGAGAGAAAGCTTCCATACCTGCATACATTCATTTTTGCCCATGACTCCAGCCAGCTGAAGATAACATTTAACTTGTTGGCGAATCTTCTGAAAGCAGTCCACAATGGGCACAGTTGGAATTGTATGAATGCGACTCAGTATATCCAGAGCTACGTTGACCAGCCCTTGTTTTCGAGCTATCTTTCCATATTGGATAATTGCCGATGCAGAAGCATGAACTCCCAACATAGCATTATTGGAACTGGGATCATGCTGAGAACTATTTTCATATGCAGTTACAATGGCTAGAAACAAAACATGAAATATTTGTCATTATAAACGAAATTATACATACAGCAATATCTTACACAGCAATACATATGAAATGATGACTTAAGATAATGACACACTTAAATAGAAATTAAATAAAAACAAACACTTTCCAAAATCAACAACATTCCTGTATATTTAAATTAAAAAAAAAAAAAAACCAACAAAGAACTTATTTCAAACAATGTGTTGTCTGGAAAATTACATGATGAATGCATGCTGGACCAGGCAGTTTTACCCTGGTAATGATGTTGCCTCCACATGAAAATGCTGCTCCAGTGGGATAAATCATCTGACACAATAGGTAACCTGTTCCTCCAAGTCTTTACAACAGTCTTCATATCATGTAAGCTGTTGTTCCTCCCCAGATTAGTTGGTTGCAATCCAGCATTTATTTGGGCTGCTTCTTGAAGTTCAATTATTTGCTGTGCTGCCTAGAAAACATTTAACAATATAAATTATCATAGCAGACAGTACAGTAAGCTGGGCAATTTCACTGTTACAAAAAGGTCTCCATGAATGACGCCATCTTTAAATGATCAAGTTAGGATGAAACTATTTATTCTGTTTTAGGGACCTGTCTATTAATTGCATAAATTACCTTTAATCAATCTAATCATTAACAAAATAGCAAAAAAAAATCCATCACTGATTTCAACACTTGATGTGTTCAAATGACTCTAATTAATGAGAGGAACAAACAGAAGATGGCATTATTCTCAAACTACTAAAACAGCAGACATTTTGTTAAAACTTCAACAACCTGAAGGAAAGGCCCACAAACTTTAATGGAATTTAATTACCTGTAGTACAATAAAACCAATGCAGTATTCTCTAAGCTACCACTTGGCAGATAACAGTTGTATTCATTGTTAATCAACCAAATAAGATAACTATTTGGGAAAAAAAGGCAGTCCAAATTTACAGAGTGAAATCTCTTGGAAAAAAATAAATTAAACAAAGTAATATTTTCCTACAGTCATCTCGGTATCAGCTCTCACAATAGCTTAACCTTCATCCTACACCCATTCATCACATAAATTTAATTTTCTCACAGGTATTTAATCACATACTATCTGATATTAAAAAAAAGTAATTACTGCAGTGCAAATTCATGGCTGCATTTGTACCTCTGTCAGTCATTGACTAATTTATCATTTCTTCAGGAGGGATATATATATATATTAGATTATTTTAAAAGTTTTAATTGATATCTGAAAGCATTTAAATGCTTTAATTAGCAATTCTAATCCTTTCATGCTGCAGATACCGCCAGTCCTAGGGGAGGAAAACCTTGAAACATCAGTAAAAACTTAGCAGGAAGGAATTAATTTCATTAAGAAGCCTTCTAGTTGTATTGCATCAGCTCAAATAAATGAAACATTGTACCTATTTACTTGACAACTTCCTCTCAGTATGGAGAAAAACTTCCATGTTCATCCACTTTATCTGGTGCATCAACTTATATTATAAAAATTCAAAGGTATGGTCTACTGTGTAAGCTCTACCCACAAGCAAAGTCATTTTAGTAGAGGTACCTTAGATCATGCAGATTTAAATACTTATGAATCACATCAGGCATGACACACTGGTGAAACTACTGATCTTAAACAGAATTCCAGAAGCCACTATATCAAACAGAACTCAGAAGGCAAGGTCCTCTGCATTTCTACAGGCAAGGTTCATTCACAGTTCTCTGAGCAATGGTCCGTCAAGAAATGCATCCCTGTTACAACATTTCAGATTGCGTTGCACTGACATAGTCCAGAATTTCTTCCCTGGAGGTGAAAGGTTCCCTCAACAGTAACAATAGCTAATATTCGTCAGGTACATGTTTATCAGGACACCTAAACAGGGACCCAGTCAGACTAAATGACAAATGAATGGCATGTTTTGTCCAGATCATGTACTGCACGATCCTGCCCCAGCACCACTTCCATGCTCTGGCTGCTGTACAGTACAAATCAGAGGACACAGCTTCATTTTCATTTTCAAGAAGCTTCTGGAAGCATCTCAAGGCCAAATGCCATTTTTAAAAGATGTGTTTACCTACTTACTATCATTTTCCTCCTTCCACTCGATTATTCTTGGCAGTAAAATATACTCTCAAAAATTCCTCTCTTACAGTTGCAAAATTAATTATTTACTTAATTAAACCCAGGAGAAAACAAAAGGGTAAGTGTTGACATTTCATACTTTTCAAAAAGAAACAGGAGTCCACTTTTGTTATGGTGAAATATGTGTAAAAGTTGCAAAGGACACAAGCCATGCATTTGTCACCATGTAATACCTGTTATTTTATCTCACATAATAATAATAATTAAACTGCATATTCTATACTATCAGAGTTGGGGCAGCTGCTTCACAAAAATGTTTCTGGAGGTCTGAAGAAAAAGGGCCTCAAGTTCGTACAAGCTCTTCCTGACAAGACAAGAAACAAATACTTTTCCATGATTTTCTGTGTGGACCACTTTTAAGTAACATGGCTAAGCGCACAGGATTTAAACACATCTCGTCTTGAAATTGAATTGTCAATGCGTGAACAAAATAAAAGACTTCTCACAAGCAAAAATAAAGATGTACATGGTATACAGCATCTTAAAAACAGTTTAAGCTTAAATAAATGCCGGAAAACAGTATGGGTTTGGCCTTGTAATATTTAATGATTTGAGGAGTGAAATATGGTGCACTTAAATAAGCACTAAGAACCTGCTTAGCAAGGATGAAAGAAAAGTAATTTTTTACTTTCCTTATTCCAAGCACACTCCTTCAGAGAAACAGAAAATAGCATGCCCCCTTTTGAAAGCAACATGCTTTTACAATTCAGAAGCAGCCAACGAGCTCTCCCTTCTCCTAGAAATGGACGACAGAGTTAAGAAAAAAGTAGGTAAGTATAAAAATGGCCCAAAAATGTTAGTTTTGCCCATCCTCTGTGCAGGCACTGGGTTATCCAAATGGAAAGTTATTCATCCTTTATAAGTCAAAGATTCAAGCATGCAAGAGTTTGAACATCAGTGCTGTTCATTCGAAGTCATGTGCAATATAATGCGGTAATTTACAGGACAGCGTGAAATTCCAGTTACAAACTTCTTCCCCTGTTTTAAATGATCTTGACAAAGAATTAAGCTACTTAAGACTAGATAATACTCAATTTTTGGCAGGGCTTTTAAAATTTGTTCTCAGGAGAGGAGTGACAGGGTTTGTTTTTTTCTTTTTAAAGTTCTTGTAACCCCAAATTCATTAGCTGCCCCTCATTTCATTCTGGACAGGACAGCTCACTGCTTCATTGCCAGAATTCTGCCCCTACTTTAGGAGCAAGCGTCCCTCAAAATTTTATGCTTGCTTTGTCCATTTTTGTCCAGAAAGCATACAGATCTCTTTCAGATCACTAACTAGTAAGGCCATAGGGCTCCATCTACTTCTGACTGCTTCTCAGTTTAGCAAAAGGCCTCTGACACGAGGTTATCACAGACTCAAATCTACCAGCTGACATACTCGCATGAGTGTTCCACAACAGACTGGAATTAAAAGGAACCAATTAGTTAGAAGCAATAACCTTTTCAATCAGCACAGCTAAGTGTGGAAGATGTGCACCCACATGTAGACAAGGAGCATTACTGAAATATGGCCTCCCACTCAGACCAAGTAAATTTTCTTTCCCGTAACTGGCATCAGATGGGATGAGGGGAGCAGACATGACCCTTCCCAACCCACACCTCTCAGTCCGTGAAGCAATGTGATTCAACATGGGAGTTCTTTTTACAATGCTACAAGACTTTAATGCAATGTTGAAGAGAACCTGCCAAATGAGCTAGTTGGATAACTAATAAAACCTGAAGATCAATGCATGAAGCTTTGAGGTACGCACATTAGTTTATCTAAGAAAATCCACTTTCCTTTCCAGCAGAACTTGTATACAATTAACTCCCTGTCCAATGAGAAATATCATATACCTAAAGACTAGATTCCTTCCCGCTTCCTTTCCCTGATGCAAATCAGAACATTTAGCAATATAATGTAGAAATGACAAAGAAAAGGTAAGGCCCACATTAGTCAAAACCTACACTATTTTTCCTAAAGGTACTAGGAATCACTTGAAAAGTCCTTTTAAGCATTAAGGTCAAAGAAGCAAAAATCTGTTAAGGTCACAGGGATGTTCAGAAGTTGCTCAGCCTGTTCGGGAAGGCTAGTCCTCAAAGAAACACTAGCATTTCTAAGTACACTTTTCCCTCACAGAGCATTAACAGTTAGCTCAGATTTAAAAAAAAAAAAAACAAAAAACAAAAAAAACCCCCACAAAACAAAAAACCGCCACAGAAGTACATTACAGTTGATGAAATTCCATAACACATTTAACTGAAAAGACCACTTAGGAGGTTATTTCAGCATTTCTGCAAATAATATAATACTAATATACCCCCCCAAATGGACCTCACTTCAAAACCCCGTGAGTGTTCAAGACCTCCAAGTACTTCAGTGCATTATGCATTGGCCCACAAAAAAAGTTCACCTATCTGATCAATTTTTAAATAGCTACCTCTGATTGCCACAAACAGAACTGATTCAGGTAAATTATTAAAACTTCAAAAGGAATCCAAATCAAAATTCTAACAACTTCTAACAAAAAAATACCACAATGAAAAATGAATCAGTACTACACAGTAAAATATTTTATGCTCACAGTTAGCTAAAAGCTGTGAAACCTGCTACTGGAAAATAACTGGCAATAAAACCCTTTCCATTCTTACCTGGAGAAGGGGAGTATGAACATGCGAGACTACGTGAGGAAGCCTTCGCCATTCTCGAATAGCTAAGCTACTCGCCATCTCTACCAGACGCTCAATGAAGTTAAGCTGTTGCTCTTCTGGATGGCAGATTGCTAAGTACCCTCTGTACATATTCACCTTCCATGCCATCTCCTTTGGACAACTCAACTCCACCTGGTAATGAAAGGGAAAAAAGCCTAGTAAAGATTATTCATACCCAAACGCAGACTTCTTTTTAAAACCTTCTTAAACAAACAAACACTCAGCTTTATTTTTTATTAAAATTAGTTCAATTTCTAAAAATATCAGAATTTCTTTCATTAGAGCAGTTTCAGCGCTCTTAAAGTTATTGTTAAAGGCAGGCTAGCAAATAAATTGCAAATTCAGCACAGGAGGAGAAGTGCCTGTATACAACCTGCTGTCAGGGTATTTTCACACTGACAACAGTCGTGTAGCTGGGAGACAGCTGAGCAAGCCAAAAGCAGTCTTGCCACTGGAGCATGACTGCAAACCAATTCACCCTGTATAAAGAAAAATGCTGCTCCTCAGCATATAACAAATACTACCTCTGAAATGCTTCAGGGACTCCAATAGGTAATGTCGACTTCTCATTTAAAATGATGCTGTCCCTATATGTCAGCACATTATGCCAGCATTACACTTCCTAACGGTCTGTTTATGAGAATAAACAGTTAATAACTTTAAGTCATCTACAACTAACCTTCCCATTTATGTCAAAGTCATTTCTGAGTACAGCCGCAAAGTCAGGTCATACTAGTAAAATAATTTAAATAATAATTTTAAACCATTTTCTTAAAATCCTGGAACAGCAGAAATATGGCAACCAAAACTAAAGTACCTGAATTACCTAGCAACTAAATTCCGTTAATATTTTTACAGTAAACTTGCACTTAACCAACGCTCACTAGCTGACACTGCAGGTCTTAAATCTAGAACTTTTTCACTTCTCTGTCTTCCGCTATACATCAAACCCTTTATGGACTGATACGCAGCACAGAAATCCCTCTGCATTATCTTCCTGTTGATATACTGTATCTTCACCATTACAATGGTGATGTCTGTTATCCTCAACTGACTTTTACGCCTGAGCCAGCAAAGAGAAACTGCCAGGTAGCAACCTTACACTTACTTACACAGTGAAAATAATCTCTTTCTTTATTACATTATCTACCGGATCATTAAACACGACGGCAATGTGAGCAAATGGAAACGAGCCATGGGTCCTATCAGAGGCCACTTGCTATTTTAATACCTCAGCTGTAATAGGTAGATTATTAAAAATGTTTCACAAAGATTTACAACAACTGATATATAGTCACCATCTTTTTTGACCTCTCTTGTGAATCAGCCATGGAACTTGATAAAAAACAGCCACAGTAAAGAATATCAATAAAACTGGATTAGCAAGTACAGCAGCATACAATCAATTATTCTTTCATATCCTAATATTTATTGCAAACATGTCCTTACACTTTTACAAGAATCTGAGTAAAGCCACGAAAGCTCCATTTATGGCTTCAGCAGCATCTTCTCCTTAGTCATTTAGTAAATGTCTCATTACTGAAAATATCTCATTTAATATAACTGCAGCTAAAGCAAATCAGCAGTTACTCGTGGTTGTCACATCTACTCAACTTGCAGATCTCCAAAACCAGAACCTGTCAGACATGATCTATTTCATTCTGTTCTAACTCAAGGTTTATAATATAGTGTAAAATACTTGTCTTATTTTAGGCTTTAAAGGTTTCTCAAATAATATCCTTTCTATAATTAGCCACTGAAGTTGCATACTTAAATAGGATGCAAAATATTGTTATAAGGACAAAAGAAGTTAATTAAAATGTAAATATAATCTGTAATTTTTGTAGCATATGCAGCTTACAGATTTGGCTTCACATGGGCTAATAATGATAAAATCCATCATTTGAGTCACCTATTTAATTTCAACTATCAGTACTACAAATACTGAAAAATTCCATTTCAAATGTTGCAACGGTTGGACACCTTTAATTTGTGTTCCATCAAAAGTCAACACTACCTTTAATTAATTAAACAACTTTTACTGTTTGCACAGCTTAGCCTTAAAGCAAAACATACTAATTGTATCCACCTATCTTCTCTTCTGACAAAATAAAGGGTTACGGAAGAATAAATATACTACATTTAAAAGTGTCATATTCATTCTGACTGCGAAGAAAGTAAGAGACATACAACTCAACCTATTTATCATGCGAGACTAAGTTCTCACAATGAAGCATGCTTTTAGGATATTTTCTATACAGGAACTTAATCATGCAAGATATTGGAATTAAAGGATGCTCAGCCTTTTTTATAATCATGTTTGGTCTTTTGCAAATATTATGAAACTAGACAGTCAACTGTCAATTCGACATGCCGTACTTTTAACCGGTAAGTATTGGTTCAAAACTTAAACAGTGCTCATGAAACAATAAACCCCAATTTAAGTGAGGGACTAATTCTTCTGTGTCCCTCTCTGCAATATCAAAAAACACTTTCTAAGGCTCTGCTCAGAGCTTTGTCAGTAAAATTGTATTTTAAGTATGCAATTCACGCCCTTATTCCAAACTCCACCATCTTTAGCAGAATAATTCCAGTAATGTCACACAATATAGCAATGGTGCAATGAAGATCAGTGAGTTCCTTTTCACTTGTGATTTAATGCAGTATTCTCACCTTTCAGATTTCAGTTCTACATCTGGTTTATGTTTCTACATCGACTAACCGCAAATGAACAACTCTACCTACCGTGGAGAGTATAATTCCTTAGAAGAAAAAAAACACCAAAAACCAAAAAACAAACACCAACCACACAACACCAAACTTAAAAAAAAAAATTTAATCTTCTACAGAACAGTGGTACCACATACAAAGTTTAAAAAAAAAAATCCCAGAAAAATCTACCGGTGACTCCAATACAGAAGTTGTCTGCCATTTCTCCCAAGAAGCCCGAGATGGCTGTACAAGCCTGACATATCATAGCAACCTCAAGAATAACCACTAGCTTATTTACAGAGGATGGTTCTTAAAACAGTTCGGAGAAGATGACCAAGAGAGGACAAAGAAGAAGTTACCTAAATATGGCCACTTTTATTGCACGTGGAAGAATTCCTCAAAATTTGCTCTCAGATAAAACATCTACCTACGTATTTTCTGTTGCACCTTTTCAGAAAATGAAGGGTCATTTTCAGCACATTTCCCTAGCCATTTAAACTTTATTCACACCCCCCCCCAAAATGTTTATGAACACTTAGAAAGAAAAAAAGATCTTCCAGATTTAAATCTTTCAAAGTGTTATTTTCTGTATGTACTGTGCCCCTGCCTTCAAACTGTTCTCTAACAGCCAAAACCTCACGAAGCATTCATTCACCAAGCACATGGATAGCACAGAAGACTCATGAGTGAAAGCCAGGAAAGGACAAAGGGAAGGTTAAATGTTTTACAAGTGCATGTTGTTCAGCAAAATGAATTACAAGCAGAACACAATAATCAACTCCATAATGAATCAGAAAGGTCAATAGCAGGAAGGTACAAAGAATACGTATTATCCATTATCAAATGAAGATGATAACTACCTCACTTGGTATACACAAGTTCTTCAGTGACTAACAAAAGAAGCCAAGTACTGTTCTGGTTTCTAAAACAACCAGGGCACACCTATGCTACTTCAGATGAAGAATATGCCCAGAAGGGCTGTGGCATCTCAATTCTTAAGAGGTACTAAAACTCTACTAGACAAATCAACCTGATTTACTTGGGCCCTGCTCTGAATGGAGCACTGGAGCAGATGACCTCCAGAAGTCCCTTACAACTCAAACTATTTATGGTTCTGTAAACTTTACATTAAACTATAAAAGAATAATCATCAATGCATTAAGCTTCTGTGGAATTTTGTGATGTTCAAAGGTTTCCTAACTCAAGATTTCCGATTCCACAGAACGTCAAATAAACTACCTTAGAGGAAATTACTGCTAGCAGTGCTGTCTCCGAGCCTCAGCACTCTGTCATGGAGGTATGTATCTAGAAGTCTGTACAAACATTATGATACTTACTTCTAGCACAAAACTTAACACAAATTGTCACAATTTGAGAGGAGACATAAGTAATTTTAGCTTTACTTCTTTTTTTCAGTAAAAACTGTACATTTAAACAGTGTCACTTCACAAAAGCCTACTCCTTCTTATACGTGGTCTCAATATTTTTACTTGTATGCTTTCTAGTATAAAGATCACACACAGAAAAAATTGTTTAGGGAACACATTTGAAAGTCAGTCATCTAAAAAGTAAGCATGCACTTGTGCTTATGCATGATGATCCTATCTACTTCATAGGCCTACTTTTGCAGAATTGAAGTATTTTCCCCCAGAAGTAACCCATCGCTTACTGTCATCCTGGTGATCTTGTTCAAGTCCAATCCCCATCTCTCTCCCTGTCAATCAATTCTAACCGTCTCCTGCACAGCCAGTCTCACTGATGCACCCTGCAACATTTCATTCAATGCCTCTCTCCTCCGTGCTAGTTTTACCAAGTCCTTTACACTTTCTCAAAGGAAATCACTTTCCTCAACTTCTTGCTTCACTCTATTTACCCAGTTATCCCTGACACTCTCCTAGTCAAATTTATACTCCTCCAACCTCCTTCACCCTCACCTCATTTTCTTCTCATTTCTTCCAGGTCTCAGGCTCATTGCCTGAAGTTCCTTACCTGGTCTTCCTGTCCCTCATCTCTCGTTAGATCTCCACTTTCCAGTCATGACCACACTGGCTCCAACCTCCGGTGCTCCCAAGATATTTTAAAATTATATGTAATGGATACATTGAAAAAATCAAATGAACCTTACAGAACTAAAGTAGACTCAAAGTGAGACTGAAGTTAGAAATCTAGCAGTTATTTTGCAGTAATAAAGTATTTGAGTACTTAAAAAGAAAGCAACAGAAGACAGATACAGGAAGGAATCCCCAGACAGACAGATCAGAAAAACATTGTTACTGAAAGAACAACAAACCTTCTATTATGATTCTGCTAAGCATGGCTATAAAATACAAGAAAACCAGCATGCGCCATGTAAGTAATCCCAAAACAACTTCAAATTTGTCTCTGTTTTCATTACAGTAACTACTGTACACTAGCCTCACCAACCAACCAACACCGAAACTGAGATTTCAATGTGTTGCTTTTTCAGGGATTTTTTAACAAGGAGCCTGACACAGCCTTACAAATATTCCTCAGATACACTACGGTATGTAATGTAAAACAAATTTAGCTGACAAGTCCCTGACCTTCACATTTTCATACATGTCTTAATCCCCCTTCATGTGTGTCTCAGGCAAAGGCAAATTATCCTCCAGAGCCCAAGTTAACATCTCATATACACAAACCATGCAACCGTTATTATCTCAACCCTCGTGCCCCAGGTTGGGTGCCAAAAAGTACTGTGGTGGTTTAGCCCCAGCCAGCAACTAAGCACCACGCAGCCGCTCACTCACGCCCCCTCCCACAGTGGGACAGGGGAGAGAATTAGAGAAAACAAACTTGCAGGTTAAGATAAAAACAGTTTAATAGGACAGAAAGAGAGAAAGAGACAACAATGATAACAACGATAATTTAACCGACAAAGGAATGTACAAGAACAAGTGATGCCCAATACAGCAATTGCTCACCACCCAGCGATCGACAGCCTGTCCTCGAGCAGCGATTTCCACCTCTCGGCCAACTCCAGTTTATGTACTGGGCATGACATCGTATGGTAGGGAATATCCCTTCAGCCAGCCTGGGTCAGCTGTCCGGGCTGTGTCCCCTCCCAGCTCCCCATGCACGCCCAGCCTCCTTGCTAGCAGCCCAGCACAAGAAGCTGGACTGTCCTTGACTGCTCAGCAACAACCCAAAACATCAGCACATTATCAACAGTTTCTCATCCCAAATCCAAAACACAGTCTCACACTGGCTTCTGTGAAGAAAACCAGCTCTATCCTGGCTGAAACCAGGACAATGTGCTATGGAGATGAACACAATGTTTTAAACAGTGCTAAACTGTGTTTAGCAGTTTTAAGTTTGCACAGCAGAAGTTGAGAACACTTTGACTTTGCCTTTCAGGTGCTAAAACAAACAAAAACAACAAAGCAAATGGTCTTTTGCCCTTTTACAGCTGGAAGCACAGTTATATTGCCCACAGACACGGAGATGATAACGGATGTATTTTCATACTTTATTCCCTTTCACAAAAGGAACATTTGTTCCTGTGAAGGACAAAAGATGTCCCTCCCCAATATTGCATTATTTTAAATAATACCATATACTTGCAAGGGTCCCGTTTTAAGCTTCTCCACATATTGGCACACACTTCTGTAGCAAGCATTTGTTGCTTTTTAATGACTCCTTACCATGCACCATGTCCTTCACCTCGCCTGGCTAAATTATAAAGTACAGCTTTATAAACAGATAGAAAAGAACCCAGTTTGTCTGATGAAATGACATGCTTCAATTACCAAAATACCCAGCTGTGTGCTGGGACGTCAAAGAAAACTTCCAAAGAGCAGTTCACTATGAACAAAGAAACTAAACGTTAGCCTAAAAAGCTCTCACTCACCTGCACCAGAGCCTCCTTCATCGCAGTCCAGTTTGAGACCCTCCATGCACATTCCAGAACTAGGTAAGGATTTATATGACCTTTTGACTGGCCATATTCTGTCAGAGGTTCCCACTGGTTCAATTCCTTTGAGCAACTGAGAAAATCAAAACCATTGTCAATTCAGTTACCAAAACAATACAATTTCAGTAAAAGTTACTATAAATGTTGTGCATCAGAATATTATCTGCATATTTGTTTGCCTATGAACAGCTTTGCAAGAACTGCAAGTTTTATCCAGATGGGAAGATTTTCATTTATTTATTTATTACGAGTTATAATACAGAAATCTGTGAACATGGAAGAACTGCATTTTGTGTCTCCCCAAACAAGCATTTTAAATAGGAAAACCAAATTTTAGCTCCAGTCTGTTTCCACCAATAGCAAATTCCTTTTTTACAATGCTTCAGGCATATGACTTCTAAGGGTCTGTTAAGGGAGTAAAGAATAGCGATTTTTATTCCCTTAAGCTTCCCTTGTATCTGAGTAAGTCCTGAGCTAAGTTTATCCTCGTAACTAATGCTTTAAACCAGCAGGGTATTTTACTTCTATTGCAGGGTAAAAATACTTGTTCTACATCAGCTTTAAAAGTCCCTTCCAACCCAGAGATTCTATGATTCTTACCGAATCCAGTGGTCTTCCCAGAGCTGATACTCAGGAAAGATCGAAGGGGAAGCATTGTTCCGTTCATGCTCTTTTTTAGCCTTTTCCATTGCTTTTTCGTAAGTTTCTTGTGCCTAAATAAAATTCAAACCATTTTTCCATCTGCTACATACACATAAACGCAACACTCTTTAAAAAAAAAGAAGTTTTAAGAAAACTTTTACAAATTCAAAGTTGAAAAAAAAAAAAGTGTGTTAACTCATTCCTGAATATAGTCATTATTTGGCAGCTTTACTAATGTAATAAAAAACTGATGTATGTACTCATAAATCTCAGCTTATCTAGGTATTACACAGCCTTAAACTACTACTTTAGCCAAGACCAAAGTTATTTATTAATATTCAGAATATTGTCTTGCTGAACAAAATACTCATCCTGACAGTAGAACTACTCAAATAATTGCTAATATCAAGAGTCTACCTGTTCAAAAAAGCCATGCTGTTCATAGGCAATCGCTGTTGCTGTCTCTGGGAATTTACAGCGTTTCTGCCATAGTCCAGCCCACATATCCTCTTCTTGTAACAAAGAGTAGAGCTCAGCAAGGGAATCCAGTATTTCCTAGAACATTAAGCACACGTATTTCTCCACAGTCAAGCTGCTCTTATAAAGCAGAGTAGATAGCAAAACCACGTTCTACATTGAGGCGAATTGAGAAAGACATGTAAACAGAGAAGCATTTACATAAATTCTTTAAAAACTGTAGAAGGCACGCAATTATTAACAACCAAGTAGTGAGAACAACAATATTGCATTAAATGACAAAAAAAAAAGCTTGTAAAGTGGTTCTTCCTTGTCTTCCCTAATATATCAGATCAAACCATAGAAAACAAAATTGTTCAACAAGCCAACAACTTGGTCTTTAACGTAAAAAGAATCTGTAATATTTAGCTTCCTCAGCTGATCACAAACATGCCAAGGTAGATCATAACTACTTGATAAACTACTAAACATAACAGCACCTGTTTCCAGGGAACTCAGTTTTGCTTAGCTAATTTTTCTTTAAATTTTAAATTTTCTTTAAATTTTGATGTCTCTCTTCCCAGGTAACAGTGATAGGACGATAGGAAATGGCCTCAAGTTGCACCAGGGGAGGTTTAGATGTGATATTAGGAAAAATTTCTTCAGTGGAAGGGTTATTAAGAACTGCAACAGGCTTCCCAGGGAAGTGGTTGAGTCACTACTGCTGGAAGTACTTAAAAGTTGTGTAGACATGGCACTTAGGGCCACAGTTTAGTGGCGGACTTGCCAGTGCTAGGTTTATGGTTGGACTCGATATTAAAAGTCTTTTCCAACCTAAATGATTCTATGATACTACTGTACTATCCTGTCACTGTCTTTTTCTCTTCACATTTCATAAGGTATTTCAATTAATGTAACACTACCTGTTGAGGAGGAGTTATGCTTTCCTGCTCATAAAATTCTGTTGTCTGTTTAGGCTTAATTTGTAGACTCAGTCCTTTTTCAAAGGCTTGATGTTCCAGCATCAGTGTAGAACGAAACCAGAGATTGTGAGTTTTACCCAAGTACTTCAGGACACAAGGTCTGATGGGAATGGGAGGAACACACTGTGACATTGCTTCCACAAAGCAATTCAGTGCACTTGGCTGGCAATCTCGCTGTACTTGATGGCTACCACTGCACAAGAAAGGGCTTATTTCACCTGCTAGAGCCTAGAAGAAAAAACATAATAGTTATCTGTTCTTTCAGATTCTTCAATTAGAGAATTTAGATTAAAAATCTTATTAATACGGGGAACAATAATTTGATAAATGTGTTTCTCTTTGTAAACCGAAGGGCCCTATTTCTTTCAGAAGATGCACTGATAGTGGTATACAGCATCCACTAGTCACAATGGCAAACGGCAAACTTCTCAAAGCAAGTGAAAAAGTCACTCATCATACAAAAACATTTTCCTGAAACACCAGTCATTCACAAAGAGGTATTTGTAAGTGAGAGGGGAGAGAGATTCTCACATGTTGTTGTCTGTCAGACAAGATTTTCCAAAGTCGTGAAAAAAGCTGTATCCAAGTCTTCTCTGCTAATGGTGTAGAAATATGACATAACTGAACAAAGGCACTCAGCAATGCTCCAGTCTAAAAACAAAAAAGAAACATATATAAATGTAAAAAATACAATTAATACCATGGAAAAACAGTTCACAGTTATACAATTTTTTAAACAGTAATGCAAATGCCTTTTCCAACCAACATATCAAAAATATGTTTCCTTCAGCAATACAGACTACTGTAACAAGAATTTAATCCTATTTTGATTTTGTTCAAGACTCTGATGATTCATTACTGTAACCATTTAAAAAAAAAAGAAGGCAAAAGGAAAGAAGTTGATTACTTTAGTAATAGGAATGATCAAGTTAATTGAATAGAACTGTTACTACTGTGAGAATTATTTCAACATAGCCCGTAATCTTCTTAGGAATTGTTTAAACATAAGATGTCAATACACTTCTTGGATCCTATAGCCAGTCTTTGCCATCACTGTTTTCTTAACTGAACAGTTAAAATACACTTACAGGTGGAACAGGATGAAATTAAACTTTGTGGGAAAGGGATACAGTAACAACTAGCAATTAAGTGAAGGCTTAAGAATTTTTTACCCTATGCAAATAAGAAATTACACCAGATAAGAGATGTCTACATTAAAAAAAAATTAGCTACCAAAAAAAATCAGAAGTGTGAGATAAGGGAAAAAAAAAAAGGCATGTCAAGTCAATTTGAAGGGTTTAGCATTAAAATGATTTGTCAGGAAACCAACAGCCTATACCAACCTTCACTTCTCGAAGAGAGTCAAGAAATTTGTCATGCCGGTTGGTCAACATGTGCAGCTGATTGCCAATGTCCTTCTCAGAAAGTTCCTTCGTTTTAGGTGTACTGGTCTGATCTCCCGGAGCCAACTCAATGTCTATTTCAACATCCTACACAGAAGTAAACAACTCAAAGCATGCAGATTTTTTCTAAGTGCTTTTGCTTTTTTCCCAAAGAAATACAAAATACCCTTCCGATCAACTTATTTCAGGTCTCACTATTTATTTTCGCTAGTTCCTCAGGTTCAGATATAGAATTGCTATAGCACTACAGTAAAGAAAAGGCTAAATGAATGAATGCAAGTTCTGAGAACCCCATGCATGGTTAAACTACAGTGTATTAAACACAAGATATACTGAACAATCTGTGCACATCATCTTCAAGACATATTCTCCCAACTGATGAGAAACTAAGAGGAGCTGTAATCCATCAAAAAGATTCCTTTTCCTACAGTATTTTCGGTACATTACCTCTTCTTTGGATTCACTGTTTTCCCTTTCACGAGGCTCTTGTTTGACGTGGGTTACCATAGCAAAAGCCGCTCTATCATGACTGTCGGCAAGGTTGATCACATTGGTGATCGAGGGCAGCATGGCACCCTGACAGCTCGTCCCAATGGTCGTGTTCCTCTCGCACACTGCCAACAGGAGCTAAGGCGTTAAGAAGCAAGGAGAGCTTTTAATGATACATTTCACTGTAGTATTTCAAGGAAAACATCACTATGGTTTAATATTCATCAACAAGATAAAAGTTGCAATAATATGTTTAAGGTCTGTTTACCACCTTTATTCAATAAATGCTCCAATACATTCTCACCTTAATCTGACCACATTTTGTCACATTTTTGAAGTTCGTGACTACATGTTCAAGATTGTTTCTCAAGCCTCTCCTGAAAATGCTGAAGAAATAGCCATCTTCTATACCTAAATTCTGTATTTTGTACTTTTTAACATTTAGTGGCCCCAAGCAGCTAATGTATACAGACTCTCCTCAATACAATGAAAGTCCTCCCAAAAGCAGCGGGATGGGGTGGGGGGGAGTGTGCAAACAAACCACAATGCTGCTTTTTATCTCTCTAGAAGGAGTTCTAATACTTTTAAGAGTACAAAGTTATCCTCACAGTCACTTTAAACTCATGTTTTAATTTGTAAATTGTTTTTTTTTTTTTAAAGAGAGTGAGCTTTGCTCTCATCTTGTTTTAAATAAACCAACCAAAAATGCAATTTCATTTCAATGCAATCCCACTTAACAGTTGTCATACCACCACAGCAGACACTCCAGCCTTAACAGTTTTGTTGAAATCATCTACAATAACAATTCCTGTATTATTTTTTTTTTTATAATCAACATTATTTATGAGAGATGGATTTTCTTAAGAAGTATAAACCTGGTCATTAAGGTTTTTGCAGAGAAAATATATTTTGACGGTTGATTTTAAATACACTTTTCAAGCACCAGCATTTCATGGTTTAGACACTGAACTTCTTTTTAAGCATCACTGGAAGTATCTGAGGCAGCAGACTTGGTATTTTTAGCTTTGATACAGATAGCACATACTACAAAGACACATATTGCATAATGCTTTTACACCCAGCCAAGAAAAATGGGGAATAAAACATATTTCTCAAATTATAATTGTATTTCTGATACAAATAATTTCCCTACCTCGATGCACTGTTTTATCCAAAAGTGATTTCCCATTGCTTCCCAGTTTTGAGAGCAGGTCACATAAAGCAGGCGTTCATAAACACGACGTTTCATAGAATTGTCAAAGACCTCAAAAAATTTGGCCCGTATGAGTGGCTGGGCACAACGCAAACCCGAAAGAAATGCTGGCTCAAGTTTAGCAGTAAGTTCGCTACCAGAAAGATTCTCATCCCTAAAATTAATAGAGATGAAAAGACAGAGACATTAGAAAGAGAAGCCTTCTAGGTTTTGTATATATAAATACTAAAAATGAAGAGGTGACATTCTGTAGAAGCCCACATGGTGTGACATGCATCCAGGTGCAGCATTCTGGGAGAAACAGCAAAGAAAATATTGCTGCTTTTTAGAAAACTGCTCCAGAACTATCATAAAAACTCTTTCAGGATAAAATTTTATCATAATTGTGAAACAACTTCAGACACATAGGTATCTTGTTTGAAATGCCAAATGATAAAAGCTTCTGACCACCATGTTCACTCCAGGGCTTTGCACAGTTAACCAGAAAACAGAAGAGCAGCAAAAAGTAACTCAAAATTACGTGAATCATCAACACAAAATTAAATACCTGGCTTTTTTTTAATAAGGTAACTATTTTAATCATTTCATCCTGTTACAAAACCTGCCAGTTTAGCTAGAAAAGTAACTCTCCTGGAAGTATAGTTTACAATAAATTTGGGGAGGGGAATAAATCTTTATAACCATTATAATCTTCATAATTTTATGTGAAGACAGACAGATTTCACCTGTCACCGCAGTGTTTATAATACAACCAGCTACAAGGACGCCCTGGTAACTTGGGAAAGGAAGAGGCTGAGGTCATGGAAATATTTTAGCGGAGCCAAAAAGAAAATCCTTTCTAAGGAATGTCTATTTTCAAATTGTCTTCCATAATTAAGTACTGCGGTCTCAGTGAAATGAATTGATTTTGCATTTGTGTGGGGGGGAGAATCACTTAGTTCAGACCTAAAAAGATTGATGGCATGTTATAAAGGTCATATATGGTACAAATGATGAACCAATAAGCTGCAATAAATGATTAACTGCTATAATTACCTATAGACATAGTTAACAAGGTCTAAGAACTGGGCATTTAATTCAAGGTCTTCTGGAAAACGCTTTTCAATGTAAGTCATCATTTTCACTAGTAGAATGGACTTCTCCCTGAGAGTAGGTGTCTGTGTTAAAAGACGACATGATTAATTTTGTCAATTCATCTTAAAACATGCAGAGAACTGGCACATTCAGAGTACACCTCAGCAATCCTTTATATCACACTTTCACTTCTAAAGTACTGAAAAATAGCTCGGTAGAAGGTCATAGTTCTTAAAAAGAAAAACAACTTAAGCATTTATACTTCTAATATATGCTAGAAAATTTTAAAATCATGACTAAAAACAGCTTTAAGTTGTTCAACAATTACGAAAATCTAACATATATTTTAAAAAGTGTAGATCCTTTTATACAGCACTAGATTGTCAAGTACTCAACTCTAACAGAAAATACGGCAAATTGAGGAAGCCACAAAATGTTACAGGAATAACACGATTTAAACCAGCATTAGTCATTCTCCTCCTGAAGAATCTCTCTATCCAAGTTAATGTGAAACAAACTTTAAAAGTTTTACTTTAAAACAAGTTCTCAGGAAAACAGCATTTGAGATCAAACACCTCATATAAGCCTATAAAATGTTAAGCATCTTTAACTCCAGTTACTTTCACAGAATATGCAAAATATTCCAAACCTCACAAGGGCATCTAAACATATATAACACATCCTTACAAACCTCACCATCAAAAACTGATGAATTATAACAGTGGCTTACAGTTATTTAGCATTTGAGAGCAATAATGATTTTATCTTCTCAATTTACCTGATTAGCTGCCATTGGGGAATTGTTTTTCACCCACTCTTCCACTATTTTTACCACTGCACGAAGAATTTTGGCATCAGTAGATTTTTCAATGAGAGATGTTAAAATAGCTTGTATAAAATTTTTCCTCATTTCCATGCTCATCACAGCCAGGCGAGTTTTCACAAGATCCAGGCTTAGCATTACCAGTTCACTTGTACCTGCTATGGATGCAAAAAAAGGATTAGAATTGTGTGTACACCTATAAAACGCCTAGTAAAGAAATTTTCAAGGTAAGCTACTGTAATTTTAAAAATAGCAACAACATTATCTGTTACCTAGAAATATACCCCTAGAAATAACATTTTCAGAATTACTACTGTCCATTCCTAAACAACTAAGACAGACTCCTTCCAAAAAACCAAATCCATTCAAAATTTTAAAGGCAAGACTGGCTGGTTTCATTTCAGTAAATCTTTGGTGAAAGGTATTACCAAACCCCAGTACTAAAAAACTGCAATTAAGCTTCTGAAAGAAACACTGTATGATGCAGCACATCTATTCTGTTCTGTTAATTTCCTGACTTGCTTATCTGTCTAGTTCAGTAATTTTCCAATTGTTTCTCTGTTAATAAAATTTGCAAGGTTCTCATTTACCTAATTAAAATACGGTCTGGGAATCTAACAGCATCAATTCTTTCAAAGTATTTTCTTCAGTAGCTTATTGATTAATAAATCACAGTGCTCTTCACTAGCACTGAATTTTCTTCTACAAGAACATCTAATTTTTTTCAGTGATTCGTGACCACTTGATGATAGACAGAATTGTACAGACTGAAAAAGATGCTATTTTAAGACAACAAAAGCATCAGCTCCAACAAGTTAATTTCACAAACAGTTATTCCAATATTACCAAATAGGAAGGGGTCCAAAAAAATTGGGAATGCTGGCAACGGGGGGAAAAAAAAGGAGTAAAAAAAAAAAAAAAAAAGAGGGGGGGGGGGGCACAGAACAATCAAAAAAATTCAGCTCTCCTCCCCTCAACACTATAAACTCTTGAGGTATTTCAGTATTTCTATCTATGCTGTAGCTCAATAAACATTCACTAACCATTCACTGAAATGTCTGGGATAACACTGAAATTCATATATTAAGCAGGTAACAGGAACTCAAAGTGCATTTTTATCCTTGAATACATCAGTAATATTTTTCACTAATGTAATAATGCACACAAAACTCTAAAAAATCATTTAAATCTCTTTAGGACAAAGAGATTTTAATACAACTCTTCTAATCATTACCATCCTTAAATGGTAATGATAAAATATATAATGTAATACCTGTATTTGCTTCTGCTGTTCCTGCCGTAGCCTGTGGGTTTAAGTGTTCCCTGACCATCTTCTGCAGAGATCGCATAAAAACTGAAATCAATCTGTCAATATAGCTGGGATTGTTACTGCACGCAGACTTCAGAATCATTAAAGTACCTATAAATAAAAACAATACCTAAGGAAGTAAAACTTCTGAGCATGGTGCAAGTGAGAGATAGGTTTTCAATGTGGATGTTCTCGTTCTGTGAAAGAACAAAGGAAAGTGTTCTAGCTGTATTTTGTCCTGCCATGAAAGAAAGAAGCACACGACTACCCAAGTTACAAAGATTAGAAATCCGGATAGACTTGAAGAAAAACTTTCAGTCTCAACTTTAGTCTCAAGTTTAGCCTTTAGTCTAAGACTAAAAAGTTATTTTGTAGTAATCGCAATATCTAAAAGTTCCATATGTAAGTGTGTGATTGAGGGCAAGGGGGAGAAAGAAAGGATAGAAAAAAAGAAACTGAAAGCAGATAGTTCTCCAAGGCCTTAAGAAAAAAAAACAAAAAAGAAAGAAATATCGTTAACCAGGCAAAATGAAACTACTCCTACAGTTGCACGTTTGTTTTAGCACCAAAAAAGTTGAAAAACTTTTACATGAATAGGATTGGGTTTAGTAATTAAAAATAAAAACTAAAAAAAATTACATTATCTTGCTTTTGCAATCTAGAGACTATAAGTTTCATAAATGAGTTACTGTAGATTGGAAAAGTTAACACTACGGAAACAGTATTTTTTCAGCCGTTTATGAATGCACGATGCGTACAAGATCACAGTCCCTTCAAATTACACAGCTGTTAGCAATGCCTATCCTAATATTATCCATACACATGCAAGCCAACCAGCTTTTGCAGCATCTATGCTTTAAAACACTTAACTCTCTACAAAAGTACACACATCCTCTCAAACTACACCCTCTATAAAAACCTACAGCTGTCTCTTTTTCCTACTGCAACTTCATAATTCAAGAAAAGCCTACGACAATATTTATAGAAACATGCCTTGTTCATTGAATGGCTGCTTCAAAAGTTTGTATTTCGTTTCCTGCTCAGACATGCACAAAATTTGGCACACAAAGTTCAGCCTCAAACACCGACTTCACTGGATTCGCACCACCTGACAGTTAAGATCATAGTGCTGCTTTTCAGTGAGCTCTGGACACGCTGTAAGAAACATCTTTCTCGGCTAGTTTGTCGTAAAGCACATCCTGACATCTGACAAACAGGCAATTCCCAAAGCAAAAATGCAACTATCTACACAGGTCACAGAGTAGAATACTGAAGGACATTTGCTATTTAAATGAGCAAGTTTTCAAAAACTGTGTAATTTCAGATCTGTATTACCAACACAACCAGTTCTGCAACAAACTGTATTATTCCAATATATCTTTGTCATCGTATCGTTTAACTGGTAGAGAGCTCAGCTACATAAGTATTAATAACAAGAAAAGAAGAACATTTCAGCTCTTCAGAATGGTATATACTAAAAATTCAGATTTGCTCACTCAAGGAAAAAAAAAGTATTTTTGTAATTTCTTACCTAGTGAGAATTCAGGATCTATAAATAAATAAATCTTCCTACCCTATTTAAATCAGCTGATAAATGAGGCTTTAAAAACAACTGAAAAATAAAGCATAAGGCAGTAACAGGTAAGAATGTTTACACAGATTCCTTGAAATATTCTATTGTATCTCAAGAGTAGTACCTGCAGGATTTTGGTTTTTCATGTAAAAAAGTAAAAGTTTCTAGTAAGTTGTATCTTGTTTACTATGTTTTCCATGCATTTTGAATACAGAAGGCTTCTATCTAGCTTAGCTGCAGCTCCACACTTCCAGTAATCGCTCCCCAGTTAGCTACCAGAAGACAGAATGCAAGGAACCCCCCAGTCCCTTTCTTCACAGATGACAAACATCCCAAGCTTATCCCTCAAGTCAGCTCCAAATGCGTCACACTGCTTCCTCTGCATGACACCAGATCTCAACTTCCATACGGAAAATAAAAGCTCCTGACAAAGATCATACTCACTAACGGGCACTCTACATACATGTATTAGAGAAGTGGGAAACTCACCAAAGAGCTGAGAAGGGTTAGCATTAGTGGCCTTTTCATAATTAGTAAGTCCTTCATAAATAACCTTTCCAACTGCAGCATAAAGGCACTCCAGCTCTTCATACTTTGAAGCTACACTCGAGGTACCTGCAGAATTGAGAGAGTTGTGTTTACTTTTCGTAACGAGCCACAGAACCGGCGAGGAACAGTTACACTGTGAACACACGGTCATCTGTGCTATCACAGGAACAATAATCTTGGCTAACAAACCAAGGTAACACAAACAGATCCCTCATTTATATAAAACTCTATTATATAACCTGTATGTCTTCTATAATAGCATACCACAACTTCTAAATAACCCATTCTGATGAGAAGTCTTAGATTACTGATTTTTTTTTTTTTAAAGATTATCTAACTTAGTTTATATTAAGACATGGCATATTACCTACTGCTTTTCTTTTTATACTCTATCTCCCTTCCTTGTTTTAGCAAAACAGCAAAGCTTAACAACTAAAAAAATTGCACTTCTGGAGCTGAAAAATTGTAATTGCAAAAATACATTAAATTTATGGCATGCATTTCTTGAACCAAAGTTATGACAGCCACAGGTTATTAAGTTTTTATGTCAATGGATAATGATGTATTCCACATGATTACTTATTTCAGTTTCTCTTTTTTTTAAGCAGAGGTTGAAAGTGCAAACCAAAATGGACCGTTAAATGCAGGAATCGTAACATAGAATATTAGTACATTCCAAAGAGAGTCTTCACCCCGCCCCTAGTCACTTAAGTTATGCAGCATTAAAGGATAAAAGGAGGAAGAAAATAGCACATACTTGGTTCTGTAG